ATATATATAAATATATTGAAAATTATATATATTTATGAATATATTTGGGGTGTGTGTATACATACACAGTTCTATACATGCACGGGGGGTGTGGCGTGTGTGTCTGTGTACATATGTGATAAGTTTGTTGCAGTAGGGCCAGCAGCATCGTCACCACAAAGTCTCTGAAAACAGGTCGACCCAGTGCGAAAGTCACGCTATCGATGTCTATCCTAGCATTGCAACCAGTGAAGAGGGAAGCTTTTAGGGAAAATTTCTATTATGTAGAGAGCAAGAGGACATGATATGAGAGCGGTGTTTTTAAATAATGATTTTTTCATCTTTTATTTGTAAGTTCCCCAGAAATTTTCACAATAAGCCAAGTACAATGAAAATACTTAACATATTTCAGGAAACTATACAAAGCAATGAAGCAAATTAGCTTATACTTTATATCCATTAAAAAAAAAAAACACATTAGGTAGGTGCTGATGTGGATTTGTCCTGCAGTCGGGTTTTTTCCATTGTGGTGGGAACTGTTTTGTTTCCCTCACCACCTCTTCTGCTTTAGAGACAGCAGAAGGGGACTAGCAGATTAGTGGCTCTGTCTTAAAAAGTGGTTGTGCACCGATATCGATGCTTTGGACAGAAGAAATGTTGGGAGGGTACAATGGGACATTTTTTTTTTTTTTTTTTCTGAGTTCCAAGAATTGGTTAAACAGAATGGTTTAGGATTACTGGTGTCTCAACAGCAAAGCTTTCTTAAAGGTGTTTTTCATCTGCCAATATAATGCATTTACTTAAATGACTTTTTCTTACATTTTAGGAGCAGGCAATACAGGACAAACTTCAAACTCTGTCACAGAGCTGTGAAAGGTATCCTTATAATCTCTTTGGCATAAGAAATGTTTTCTTTCTGGAGGCTGTTTTTCCTCTCTCTCTCTCTTTACAAGGCTAAGCCAAATGCCTGGCCTTTGCCTTGGCTGAGAGAAGAGTAGCAGGAGCTGACCAGGAGAAGATGGAAGGGTGCACGTCTAGGGAGAAAGCTGCAGATACTGTGTGTGCAGTGTGCCTATTTTAGCTCCTCCAACTCTTTTAATTCTTTAGTTCGGGTGCTGCATCCTAGCCTTCATGTATGTACAACAGCTTTCATTTCAACACATAACCTCTTTTGTTAAGATAACTGAAGTGGTACAGTCCCTGGTTTGGATGCTGTTGAACCTGTATAAAGACGTGCCACGCTAGTATAACGGGGTATAGAGTTTATTCCCTCTTCGGACTGGGTATGCCTCTATCACCTTCTGTAATGACCTTTCCCCAGGTACGTTACGGGGAATGGTGTGTCGGTGAGAGTTGTGTGTTGAGCCACTCAAAGGTATCGTTACAACAAGTGTTAGGACACGCGGCCAAAGCCCATTCTGTGGTTTTGCAGCGCGCGAGGTCACACTCAAGCTTAGTAATGCTAATTGCAGAACTAACGATAAATAACCCCCAGAGCCAGCTCAGCACTCCTCAGAAACGAAAGCAAATTTCCATTTTTGCCAGCCCTCATCTGCCTGTTTCTGTACTGGGAAGCCACAAGGTTTGGAGGAAGCAGTGAGGAAGAGCCCTGGAGAGGAAGGCTCGCTGCTGGACTGGAGAGGGGCTGGCTGGGGTGGTGGCTGCTGCTTCGGGGGCAGGACTCCCCCTCCCCAGGCATCTGCTGCTCCCGTGCTACAGCTCCTGCTTCGGCACCAGCAGTAAGCCAGGTTTTTCAGTGTTTGGATATGGATAAGGTAGATACGAACAGTGTGTGTTCATAAGCAGCTGAATGCCTTGCCTAATGCAGGAGCCAGCACCAACTTTGTTCTTATTGATTATAAAGCTTTGGGGGTAGGATTTTCGTGACCCTTTTCTATTTTCCTGAATAGACAAGATGAGTTAAGTTTATGAACTTTGAAGACACCTCTCTCCTACTGTTTCCATCCTACCCCACCAAAAAAATTAGCCTGACACAAGTCAATGCAACCCCACAACCTTAAAATGGAACCTTTTTTCCCAAGAGTTTGCTGCTTTTAAATACTGCATGGAAAGTGAAATCTAATTTTTCGTGACTATAGGTTAGTTCTGGCTATAAATAAGTTACATAAAATTAGTTCGTTTTGTCTATCTAATCTGTTGTAGAAAGGCACATCAAATTTTCAGTCATCTATTGAATTCTAATTTGCCTGTTCCAGAATTGTGTTTGAGAAGCTGACTGTCGTGACTGCGGCAGCACGGAGGGTCTGTGTCAGCACACGTCTCGTAGTCGTACAGGGAGGTCTCTCTTTGCCAGGTGCATAGGTAACTCAGCGCTGGAGTTGGGTTGTGCTTTTGTAGAGTGGAGGGTAACGGCACATGAATCAAATGGCTGGCAATTGCAGCAAAGATGTGATCTATATCCTGTGCGCAAAATGTGTTCACTTTCCTAACGTACGAGTTGCACATACAAGGTAGCTGCAAAGGGAGTAGAAATAAGCTGTTCTGTGCAACTAGTGCAGAACAAGAAGTAAAGGCTTTAAATTTAAGCAAGGGATCCATAGGTTAGACTTAAATTCCTGTATGCCTGTATGGCTAAATGAACACAAGAATAAATTGCCCAGGAAGGCTGTGAAGTCTCCCGGGAGCTTTGTAAGATCAGTTTACACAAACCTCTGTGAGAACTGGTTTAGACAGAGCTGGTCATACCTTGGGGTAATAAATAGGCCAGATGGCCTTACAAGGTTCCTTCCTGACATGATTTTTATGAACCTTTGAAAATTTCCTGCAAATTACTTGCATGTTGATGTTTTCTGTACACGTCATATTACAATAAGGTTGTTAGCAGCTAGAGTTTTGGCTGCTAAAAATAATATACTGTTGCTAGCTGGTCATCTGGGATATTGTGGCATAAAACCTTCTTTCTGGTTCTTGAGAACTGCAGAGGGAGGAGAGGCAGTCTCTTACGGGATGCTGTACCGACTTCTCACTCTTTTCCTTCATCTCCGACAAACATAAACTGACCCCGTTCAGACCTTCTGCTGTGAGTGCTGACAAGCAGGAGTTGAGAAAACTGGACCTTAGAAAAACAGGGACTTGTGCAGTTCAGAGAGGGACCATAAGGATCCCTGAAGTGAAGGGATTAGGGGATGTATTGATATATTGAGCGATGGGACTTTCCCTATGGTATTGGCAGAAATGTTCATAGATCATTTCTTATTAGGTGTGATAGCCAGAGAACGTGCCTGACTTGGAGTAGTCCCTTCAGGTACTGAGCATCTTTCAGTAGCGGGCTCAGTTTGAGCCAAAAGGGTGCAGATGTACACTTTTTTTTTCAGTCTCTGTTGTGTATCTTACCTATGCGTAACTCCGTCGTGTGTGACGGTGGTTTTATCTTGGGTTTTTTTCTTCCTTTCTCTTACAAAGCTACATGAGTCCAGATGTTGCTTCGGGTAAAGAGATGAGTGACAGCTTTGAAGGAGCAATAGGAAGTGGAAAACAAGAAGGAAAGTCTTCAAAGAAACATAAGAAATCTACACGCGCTCGTTCACGCCAGGAGAAGTCCAGCAGACCAAAACTGACCATATTAAATGCAAGTACCATCTCTTTGAGGGCGACTTTAGGATTCCTTCGGCTGTGCCAGAAATAACGGCTGTTAATCTTTGCCTGCAGGTTTGTAACACGGGGGATAAGATGGTGGAGTGCCAGCTTGAAACACACAATCACAAAATGGTGACTTTTAAGTTTGATTTGGATGGTGATGCGCCGGAGGAAATTGCTACTTACATGGTAAGAGTTGGTGATGCGGCTGCCCGCAGTATCTTAATGCAGCAAGTTGCTTCAGCCAACCTATTCTCATGTGTGCTTGTTGACCAAGCCTTCTGGTAGCTGTGGAACGGCACGTTGATCGAACATTACTGTTTTCCTCTTTATTTTGATGTGGCCTTATAGGTAGAGAATGAATTCATATTGCAGAGTGAAAAAGAGACATTTATTGAACAAATGAAAGATATTATTGATAAAGCAGAAGATATGCTCAGTGAAGATACAGAAGGAGAACGAAGCTCTGATCAGGGCACAAGTCCCCAACAAGATACCGATAGGCTGGAAATGAATGAGGTAAGAAATGTTAAACAAAGATTTCTAGTTTGATTCCTTTTTCTTAACAGCCAGTTACTGTAAATTAGTTTTACGTCCTGTGTTAAAAAAAAAAAGTTTCTTAGCTAGAAAAATAATGCTTTTACTCCGTTAAGGCTTACAATGAGCGCTCCTTAGAATGATGCTCCTCTTGCATTGATACAAGACGGCTAGTTCTTCTATTGTTTCGGTTTTGTTTTTTTAACAGGAGAAGCGGCAGTCTCAAATGAAGACGCCCGTGTATCAACAAAATGGTAAATGTGCCTTTGAATACAAACTTAATCTCAAGCTGTAAGGCAGTGATGAGCTTATGCAGAAGTTTGCTAGATTCAGGAAGAAATCCACCGGTTACTGGTGGTCGGAAATATATCTAGAAATATGGGTATGACAGCGGTCCCTGCTGTTAGCAACCTGGAAGATCGCAGGGCTAACCTGGATGAATCTAACATCTGGGGATGTTTAGAGAAGCCCTGAATTACACAAGCCGATAATCGGTGGTGGAACAGTCAAGAAGGTAGGGGCAAGCATACTCTTTCCACAACAGTGACTACGTTTGCAAGAGGAAGCTAAAAGATTACGTTTGCGTTGGTAATTTAGTTGAAATTTCTAACCCGTAAGTTTTCAGCTACTTTGGTGTTACAGGGGAGGGATCTTGGCCTTCCAAACACAATTGCGTCTTACGGGTTTTACAGGCAAATGGAATGGGAAGGGAATTTGCCCTTGATTCTCTCTGTAAGTGTATGCTGGTGGGAAGAATGAACCCTCTGCTGAAGGAAGCATTGTTTCCAAAAGTCTCGTTACTGCATGTGGCGCTGTGTAGTTGCTCCATGCTTACAGGGCAAGAAGGATAATTTGGAACTTCTTCTTTGACAAGTGCAGAAACTGGGTAATCCTCCAAACTAGACTTTCTGCTCAAAAGATCTGCTTTATTTGTTGCCTGTAAACATCATACGATTTTCTCAGTACGCCTTTTTTAACACAACATTTATATTTCTACTAATGAAAGTGATGAAGTGTGTATAGTTCTGGTTTGCCATTTACATATGCTAGGCTTTGAGATAAGATGTGGAAGGAAATATTAGCTAGAAAACTTCCAACGTGGAAAAGTTAAGCTGGATAAACTTTACAAAATTAACAGATTTTTCCTTGTGAGAAAACTGTCCACAGTACCATTAATAAAACTTTCAGGTACATAACTATTGCCCTTCTAAAAGTATGAACACTTGAAAACAAATTTTCAAATAACTTAAAATATGTGGCAGAATCAGGAGGCATCGCTGTCTCCCTTCCGGAAGGGATGAGAAACAAATTAGGCGCCGTTGATTTAATCTTGGCTAATGCTGTAGAAGTTCTGATTTTCTTTCTAAACATGGAAATTAAGACTAGGTTTTGACAGATGATCTGGAATGAATGGAAACTATTGTGTTTACTTCTTATTTTCTTTTCACCTCTAGTTTTGCATACTGGAAAAAGGTGGTTTATTATATGTCCTGTTGTGGAAAACCCTAGTACTGATGCACCAGAATTTTCTCCACCGGTACCTCAGAGTACACAGCAGTCTGAAGGTCCAGGTATTTACAAACTTTATAGAAAATGTTTTCTTCTCTGAAGTTGCTGTGTCATCTCTCTTCTATTCTCACCTGACTTGGTTGTGATTGTTTCATTTCATTTAGTCGGAGGAAGAAAGTGATGAATTTTAAGTCATGCGTTTTAAGTGTGTTTCTGGTATTGAACATTCCTAATCTGAAAATTAGGAATGTTTATTTGAGTTTCAGAACAGTCTCAGTGTTTTAACTCTGCCTTACGCTATAAGGTAGCTGAATTTCTAGTCCCTGCTGTTTTAATAAGCAGTGTCTTTTCAGTGCAGTATTTTTGCATAATGTGTAATTTTGGGTTCTAATTTGACTTGTATAACAGTTATTTTCTGACGGGAAGCACTAATGGGTTACGGCTAGATGTGGTTATCACTGCAGCTAACCGGGAAGGTTTGCAGTGACTTCCTTTCGTTCTGTGCGGCTCGTAAAAAAAGTTGACCTGGTGTTTGTATGCTTTTAGACCTGGAGCAGTCGGATGATCAGCAAGTGAGCTCTGCGGTGGCGGATCCGCCTGGTGTCTTAGCTGGTCAGCAGCTTCCCCTACAAGCAGGTGTATGTGACAGCCCCATCGGAGCCTCTCCATCTTTGACACAAGTTCCTGCCGCAGCATCTTCCGCCGGCTTATCGAGCCAGGCAGAGTTTTCAGCTCCGGCACTACTGGGATCTGCTCCAAATATCCTAGAGCAGGCGGCTGCTAACGGAGGTCAGCTGGAGTATTCTCCACTGAAGGCAGCGATGCCCGCTCAGCCGGGCACTCCTGTCCCCCGTGCCGCCTTGCTGGAGGAGCCTTCCGATGCTCTCCTCGCTCCTCAGCACCTGCAGCCGCAGGCTGACGAGGGCACGTGTGTCCCTGACGTGGAGATAGCGTGTTGCAGCGTCGGGCCGCACAAGTCAGTCCCGGCAGCTCCTGCGAAGGCGGCAGAGCTCTGCCCGCTCCCCGTGCTCCCGGACGCCGTCGTTTTGGAACGGCAGCCTGCAGCGCAGGTCCCTCACCTGCCAGAGGCCAGCCAGCCTGGCGTGGTGCAGCACTCCTTCATCAACCAAGCGTTCCCTGCAGCCGCCGCATCCGATCCTCTCGGTCTGGCAGGCTCTCAGCTCCAGAGCCCTACTCAGGTGCCAGTGGCCGCCTCCCAGCAGCATGCGATGCTGTCCCAGGCGCAGCCCGTAGCCTGCGCCGGCGTGGGGATCAGCCTGCTGCAACAGCAGCAGCCGAGCACCGCCGAGTCCGACGGAGAGGGACCACCCAGGGTGGACTTCGTTGACAACACAATAAAAAGCCTTGATGAGAAATTGCGCAATTTACTTTACCAGGAGTACGTTCCTACTTCTGCATCAGCAGGGACTCCAGACACCTCTGTTCCATTAGAACAGGGCGACAGTGAATTTAACTTGCCACCTTTTCCCAAAGATCAAGTTCCCGCGTTGGATTTGAGAGAACCAGGCCATAATGTCGCAGATACCGGCCAGGAGGTGAAAGCTGCTGCCGAGGCCCAGTCGGTGCCACTCATACCATCTGAGATCTCACCCTACCCAATACTGGTTAGTCCAGCAATATATATATACACACGCTAAATCTGCCCTTTATACCCCCAAATCCAGCTGTTAGGGACAGCAGCAAAGCAGAGCTCAGAACCAATGAGCCTGTGGTAGGACACGTATAGGTTTCTTGCTTCCCTAAACATTTTATGTTTCTGCTCCTGGGCGTATTACCTTTTGTCTGTTGACTGCTTTCCAGTGTGAAAGTTCTCTTAAATTTTTACTGTCAGATGCATTCTGACTCATTTTACATAAATGCTTGTTAGTGAAAGCCAGACTTTTCCTTTGGTTTTAAAAGTGGTATATCATCTTAATTCCTTCTCCTCCTCTTGTGTCCTGTTTCTAAAGCAGGCAGAAATGTGATAATTTTTTTTTGTAGTTTAAGAACATAAAACACAATGAGAGGTATAGTCATTCAAGTTCTGATGAAGACGATCATACTTTAATAGGAATTTTTTTTTTATATAAATTAATGGCAGTGATTATAATGCCTGCCTTCCAAGTCAGTCTGAATAAAATAAACACTTCAGGAGCCTTTGCTTTGTTCAAGTGCTGCAGCTACAGGAAGACATTCCATAGGCAGAAGCTTGCTCTGCTTCCAGTAACGATTTCTTTTGTCTTCCCCTGAGCTTGGCAGAGCAAGACTGCACTGGGAAGCATCTAAGGAAAGCTGGAGCCGGAGGTCTGGGTCATTATTTACTCAGTGTCTTGACTGTGCACCTGTGTTGCGTTCTTCCAGATAAAATCCTGAGTTTATGAAATTCAACAGATTTGCAGCACTTTCTGCTGGAAGATCAGTGTATATCTTACTTGAAACGTAGCGTTTCTGGAGATAATGACATCACCCAGTAGCAAGGATGAGGCTGTTCCGTGTAGTGTCAGCTGGATGAACTGTATCAACTGCCTGAAAGATGCTGTATGTTACAGGAGAGATGGCTGCACTTGAGTAACTCTTCAGAGCATATTGTTTATAATAATAAATGACCTTCTACAGCAGATAAAATTTTCTCTCTATGAAAGGTGTTATGTCTTTCCAGTAATTTGAATTTGTCCTATTAAAATCTGTGCCAATAAGAGAAGAGAGACGTAAAATTTCTGAAGACAGACATACAGATGAAGAATGTACAGTCTGGCTGGAAAAGCAAACCAGAACAAAACCCCAAACTGTTATATATAATTCAGTGCCTATTTTTCAGTAACTTAGGCTGCAGTTCCCTCTGTGACACTGCCACTGCTTTTTTTTCTTCCAAGGGAGGAAAAAAAAATGGATTTGAAGGAAAAGCTAGAAGGCCACCGCCACAGACACTGTAAAATAGTTTAATATTCCACAATAGTGTGAGGGCAGAAAAGAGGGAGAGAGAGGGAAGGAGAACACATTGCCTTTCTGCTTTGTGCGCGAGACTGAAATTCTTTTTCTTTTTCCTTTTTACCGAAAGTTTGAGAAGTCGGAGGTCACCGGCATCGGTGCTCATTCCTCAGAAGCAAGAGGTGGGTCAGCAAGCAGAAAAGGTAATGCTCCTTTCAGAGATGAACGGCAGCGATGCATCTGTACTAGTGCGTGGTCCTCTCCTCCGGTGTCCCCTTGCTGCTCACCCTTCTGGTTAACCGCAGAGCACTGCCCAGCACAAGGCATTTCTGATCCTACTTGTAATATAACTAATATTATACGACTCACTTCTGTCAAGCTTCCTAGAAAGAGACTGCCTCACAGGCGGATTTATTTTAAACCGTAAATATGCAATACATGTCTGCGGTGTAGGTATCGGGTATTCACATGGAAGGCTATGTTCCCAATAATAAATTTCCAGTGCCCTTAAAAGTCCAAACAGAAAGTCCCTCGGATTTCCTGGCTTTCATAAAAATGCGTTGACACAAATAACATGATTGAGGGTAGCCCCTCTCGGGGGAAGCCTGTAAGATTTTTCAAGGAAGTCCCATGGAGAACTAGTAAAGAGTACTTTTCTTTAGGTACTTGTAGATACAACAGCACTTTCTATAATAAAGTAGTAGGAGCCATAGTAAGAAACTGGGTATTTATCATGCCCCATTTACCTGTCTTGCAAGTCATGGGAAGTTTTAAGAGCTGAGGAACCCAAAACTGCTCCTGCTGTCATGGGTGGCGCTGGGGAGGGCTTATAATATATATTTTTTTGAGATTGTTGTGGCAAAGCTGGCTACCAGGTTTGTGCGACAACGCAGATCATTCTTGTCCTGGTGGACATAGATCGTCCACTGCTCTTAGGTCAGTGTGAGAGGGGAAAACTTTGGGTAGCCTGCATTCGTCTGTCTCGCTACAGACAAAGAAGAGAGTATGCAAGTGGAATGTAGCGCTGTGCAGTAAAATTAATGTATCTTAGATACCATCAAGCAGTGATGTGTTTCACCATTTCAGAACTATGAAGTGACAGATTTTTGCCTTATGTTCACTCTGTGCAACGTGCCATAAGAAAGCAGCTTTCTGAAAAGCTTGCGTTTGTTGGTTTAACTTCAAAACCAGTGTCCAGGTTGTGAAATAACTGCGTCTTGATTACTGCCACTAATATTTTGCTTCTTGCGTGCTTCTGTGGTGCGAGTGGCCGTCTTTTGAGCTTATAATTTCCGCTTTCAGCAATGTGCGTTTAACTTCATTTCAGGCACCTTTAATTGTTGGTGTCAGCATCTGCCAAATGAAAGGTGTGAAATACCAGTCCATCTGTGGTCAACTGCAGCATTTTGTATGCATGAATAGCTGAGTGCAATTACTTTTTCAAGACATCAAGAACGCCGTAGTAATGCAGGCCCAATGTACCATGCAGATGTCATTCTTCTTCTGGTTTTCGCCTTAATTTTCAGCTGACTAATGAAATTCCACACTCCTATTATTATTTGAATTCCCCAAATCAATAGATTGAAGAGAGTGCCTACCTGCAGATATTTTATATTATCATCGATGCTGCCTCCTGCATTTATAGATCCTGTATTACAAAGATTGGATATTTAAATTATTCTTCAGTGCTACACTTTATCACACTTCAGTTTATCACAATAAACGTGTTGGCTTTTATTATACTAAAGCATTCCAGACATGAATATATCTCTTTTCCAACTTGTAAAACAGGTTCAGCTGCAAGCATCACTTCAGCTCCTGCTGCTACGACAAAAGGCCTCCTTCAGGTAACCAGAAACTAGGAGCGGTTTTATGCTTGATTGTTACAGTTACTTTCAAAATTAATCTCCGTTATTTTCTCCAGGTTGCACCTACATCATCAAGAATAACTAAACAGATGGAAACTTCTAAAAGGAGCGAGAAGGCAAAGACTATGACTTTGTCTGCACACACAGATAATGTAACACAGATATCTACAGCAGATGGGGTGATGAATAACCTTCAAAGGGATGACTCTCTAGACTCTGGTTCCTATGGAAAACAGGCTGAAACTCGTGATAGCGGTACACCAGCCAAAACTATTGGCAGGTTTTCAGTAATCAGCACGCAAGATGAATTAACTTTAACAGCGCCGCACTGCTTAAGGTTCTCAGCACCCCCAGATGTCTATTTGGATGAGCTACCTTCCAGCCCTGATCTGAAGACAGCTGTCCGACGGGTGCAGACGGCCTCTTCTGTCGATGTCCTCTGTGACCAGGGTTCGAGTGATTCTGCTGATGAGCCTTTCCATCGTCAGTCGGCTGCTGCTGCCCAACTGTCCCCCCCGAGCAGTAGTGCAGCCACTGACTTAATTAAAAAAGCAGCTGCTTTTCTGCAAAGATCTGGCAAAGCTAGCTCGCCAGGCCTCGATTCACCTAACGGGCAAGGAACAAAAATTCCTACCATCAACATAACATCCTTCCACTCGCAGTCGTCATACATGAGCAGCGACAACGACTCGGAATTTGAAGACGCAGATATGAAGAAAGAATTGCAGAACCTGAGAGAAAAGTATGTCGTGTTCGCTAACAACGCTAGGGAAGCTTGTGTTAAGATACCTAGGCAGCAACTCTGCGTGTGATGAGCAAATATGTGGTTTTCATAGCTGTAATGAGTAAACTGGTTCTGGACAAATTGGGCATCGCTAGGACCTTGCCCCAGAATATGCATCCTTTTATGCATCACTTTATTTGTCAGTCTTAGAAGAATAGTTCAATAATAACTTCTTTAAACCCCAAAACGTTTCTGCTGCGACGTCCAGTTTCCTTACGGAAAAGCTATGTTGATGTGGTAGCAAACAACAGCACTTGTAATGTATGTGATAGTAGGTTCCCATGTGGACGCTATTTAAGGCAGCGTAACAATAATCTGGATGCCCGCGTAGACAGCTGCCGTAGTGTTCTCTTCACGCCCTTCTCTGCAAGGGTGATTTACACTGCCCGGTCTACGGACCCATCACTATTCCCAGACTGGCTTTTACAGTGGATAACCTAGTATCTATTAGGCAGGTAAGACCCTCGCTTCGCCTCCCATCGGATCTCTCATCATCGGTCCAGTCTCGGCGGGAGGCTGGGTGAGCCTGGCAGGAGTCTGTCGTGCTGCCAGTCCTGAGAGCTAGCTTCTTTAAATTTGAACGTTTTCTTTTTTTTCCTGGCAGGTGATGGGTAAAAACTAGCATTAGATGGTAGTTTAACCAAAATGTTAAACTTTATCCTAAGGTATAATGGTTTTACTGAATGCAGATGATGCATCTTTTTAAAACAGAACTACAGTAATACAAAACCTTTAAACTGACTTTATGGCATCATGAAGTCTGTGTTATAAATAAGGTAATGATTCATGTGCTAATGGCATTTTTATGGGAAGCACTTTTGCTTTTCTTCACGCTGAACTCCTTCAAACTGCTGTACGTGCCTTGAGAGTTAACTTTTCTGAAGCCACTGGTTTGAAGAGAGAAATTCTGGAATAGTTTGGAGTTCCTGTCAGATGTCATGTCAAAGCCACTTGTTTTTACCGAGGATGTTGAAAATCTTTTTAGCTGTCTAGGATTCTGTCTTATAAATGAATATTTGAGAAGTCAGTCACCACGTTTGCCAGCTAGATTGTTATAACTTCACGTACGGATGAGCAGTTGATTGTTTTATAACCGAAGACTATTTTGTTTCTTTTTTTATAACTAATTATGCTGTCAAGGTGTGGTGCTTTATCAAATACATTGCTAGCAGATTTCTTTATTTTTTATGTTTAGGCATATGAAAGAAATTGCTGAACTTCAGACTCAGCAGAAGAATGAGATAGAGGCACTGTATATTCGGTTAGGGAAACCCCTTCCTCCCAACCTGGGGTTCCTTCACTCAGCCCCACCAAGCAGCCGTCGCCGAAGAACCAGCAAAAATAAATTGAAAGGCGGAAAACTATTAAACCCTCTGGTCCAGCAGCTCAGGAGTGGAACATCAAGCACAAGTAGGTACACTAGGTTGCTTTCCATCCGCCTGTTGTTTGTGTCGGTTGTGGTTCTGCTGTGTAATTGCATGGGCGGCAGGAGAGGCACTGAATTTTTATTGTTTTTAATACTATGACTCAAGTTTGCGTACCGCGAACTGTTTTTGAAGCGGGCTTCCTTTGGGACAGGCTTATTACAGCTGCCCAGTGCTGAACCATACGTACCTTCTCTGCATCGGTTCCGATGCTTGGCAGAGAAACAATGTTCCGCTTTAATTTGGAATACAACCTGGTTACATTTTCTCATCCTTTCTTCAGATGCAATTTATTGATGTTTGTATTCACTTCTTAGGTGCTGTTATCCTCTATTGACTATGTGCTGTATCTTGTTGTTGTTGTTTATTTTTTCCTACAAGATGCCATATAAATAAGATTGGATTGCGTTTGCTCCCCGAAAGTATGGGAGGTAAAAACGGTTATAAAACTGTGGTGGATGCTTTGACCATCTGAAGTAGTTTGAGATTTTTCAAACGGTAGTGCAGTCTTGAGTCATTATCTCTTTTTGTAAGTATAAAGGTATAATTCAACTGGGAAATGTTGATATACCCCAGTACCTATTTCCTCAGCAAAATGTAGAATAGAGTATGAATAATTTTTCTTCAACTTAGTTTATGCTGTTATTTAGAGGAGCAGCGGCACTGCCAGCGTCAAACCTGTATTTCAAACCTGGTAGCACTTGTTTTCAAAGTCACTGCATCATAAGTCCACTTCGAATTTCATTGCATCAATCTTAATTATAGACAGAGCGTTTTGGAGGTTTTTGCTTTTAATTAAGGATTTCAGCTGAGATAGGAAAAGCAAAGATATTCAGAGGCAAGATGTTCTGTGATCCATCTTGAATCTCAGTATTCTCGCCTACAGAGAATATATGCTTTATACCTCTTTAGCTGCTGCTTGGCCGACGTGCATAGGTTTTACTTCCTTTCCTTGTGATGAGATACTCTGAATGTCTGTTATCCTTGGTCCGTTCATTTTCCAGTTTGTTCTTGGGTTCTCTCTAGCCATTTTTCCCCTCTGTCTATTCACAAAACCCACATCTGTCTCCATTCATGGATCTTGGCTCATGTCGGTGTGCTACCCTAGTCCAAAGAATTAAAGCTTATTTCTGCATAAAATGTCCCAATTTTCTCTCTTCCCAACCCCCCCCCCCAACCCTCGTCACCTTCAGTCAGTGAGCAGAAACTGCTCAGACTGCTACTTCGGTGCATGCTTTCCTTCATGCATTTCTTCTGTGTTATTTTCCACTTTTTTGAGGCACTGCGTAAAGCTCATGTTATCTTCGAGAATCTGTATTCACGCCTGAGTCTTCTCATCCTTGACTATGTAGATTCCTCATTTTTGGCCTTCCTAGGTCCGTCCTTTAGGGATCAAGGGCAGGCGGTTTCTAATACGGTCAGTGATGTAATTGTCACTTCCATTGTTAGATGCTTTTGCTGATAAATCCATGGAACAAATGATTACAAAGGTATTCTGGTGGTAAAGCCTCTTTACCCGAGATATCCATGTAGAAAGATATATAGATACAGGTATTTACATATAGACATGTATCTATCTATATATAGATAGCTATAAATAAAAAGTTCCTCGTGTCTTTGCAGCAACTTTTTATTTCTCTCCATTTGCTTGCTTTCACCTTTCATGTTTGAGAGCAAACCTACATGTTCTGCTCAGTCGTTCTGCGCGTTCATCCTCCTACTTTGGCACTGCTGCAGCTCTCGCTTTATTTCAGCAGTCCCGACTCCAGCCTTTCTCGAAACTGCAGAAAAGGAACTGTAAAAATCAAGCCTACTCCATAAGCTTCTTGGAGAAACTGGATCAGCAATAGTATGCGTAGATTATTTTCTGGTGCAGGCTATCCGTAAAGCCTGTGTGTCATACGGTACTTCAGAGTCGTAAACCGCTGCTCCTCTTAGTGGCAAAGTAACGCTTATTTTTAGGCGCGGATTTTTATTCGGTGGTTTCCTAGCGTTTGCCGTTGCATGCGTTTTGTTTGTTTGCTCTTTCAGGTAATCTTTCAGACTCTAAAGACTCACCCCACAAAGAAACAACTAAAGCTCAGCCTGGATCTCCCGAAGCAGCAGCAGCAGCCACTTCCCCTGCGTCAGCCACCTTCGGGAAGGCTGTTCAGACGCAGCAGCCGTGCTCTGTCAAAGCCTCTTTGTCTTCTGACATCTGCTCCGGCTTAGGCCCCGAAGGAGGTGACGTGAACGCAAGCTCTGGCCAAGGTGATTTTTTTCATACCAGCTGTTCGGCATGTCTTCCAGCACATGCTAAGATTAGTTCGCTTCCCTTATGCTTGAACTTTTTAGGAGTGGATTTCACTTCTAGTGATATAAGAACATGAACCTTTGACAATCCAAATTACTGGCTTATCTTTAAAAAGATGGTTGCAGTATTGTCAGAAGAACAAAAGTAAAGTATCTTACCGAGTGTTAAGAGTCAACACTCAAGAAGGCAAGCTTTTAGGAAGGAAACACCTTTTATTTTTGCCAGCAGTGGCTTTATACTGACACCTTTTCTGGAGTCTGCCTTACAGACTTCTGAGAAAAAAGAAAGGAAACCAAAAAAGATATAGAAGGATAGGAGATTGTTTCCTTTGGTTCGTTTTGGGCTTTTTTTTTTTTTAGCCCCTTGATACTGGGAGACCCAGAGTTCCTCATTATAAACTACCAAACCATCTTGGGTGTGAGGGGAAAAAAATAAAAAGAAAAGGAAAAAAAGAAAACCAAAACCAGAGAACCAAGTTATGTTTCCTTTATCTAAGGGGTTAACTTTGTGCATGATTTTGGAGTCCCAGCTAAATGACTGTAGATAGGCTGTGTTCCCCAGTCCCGACCTCTGATACTTCTGTGTATTGCACACCTCCGTAGGCTTTGACTGATCTTGTTGCCATGCATATTGGAAGTTATAATGATGATTAAAATACCTTCCTCTCATTGCACATCCTGCCAAACTAATCTACAAAATATCTATGTTCTCTTCTGCTGTTATTGCATCCTTTGTGTATGGTCAATTAACTTACTCCTCTTTGGCAAAGTTAAAATGGAGATGTGGATGTTTAACTAACAAAGCTGATTTGACTGATGGTATAGGACATCTGATGACAGCTACTTGTACTTTATAAGTGTCTTTGTTTTCTTCCCTTTATATTCATTTGCAGGCTGGACGGTTTTCCACCAAACGTCTGAGAGAGTGACCTATAAATCTAGTAGCAAACCTCGTACCAGATTCCTCAGTGGACCTGTGTCTTTGTCCATCTGTTTGTATTTGTTCTTTTGTATTTTATCACAGTCCATCTTTCTTTTACCCCCTTTTTCCAATTCCATGTTTTATATCTCTAATATGTTTGGCAGGATGCCCCTTTTTCTGAACCATCTTTTCTTTCTTTTTATCTTTTTTTTAAGTAGTCATCATGAACACACCTTATTTATATTAATTTTTCATATGAAAGCTTTTTTTGCACTGCTTTTGGCTCGTGCCTGGGCACCAAAAGCATGTGTGGAAGATCTCATCATTTATTATATAGCCTTATGGTAAATTTTACCCTGGACGTATCAAAGCTTTTGTACTTTATGTGATTTATGTTGAAGTAATTTTATTTGCAATGTGGCAAATATACATGTCTGCTGTCCCGGTTCCAGCGACAACAAAAAGAAATCCATCCTTCTGTAGACGAATGGTCTCTTTCACACATGTTTGGACTATGAAGACATGCATGTAGCAAGCTGATACAATACTAGAAGGTCACTGAAGGGTATAACTTCCATACAAGGGCTGTATTAACACGATATACAGTACTGTTTATATCCACTCTATTTTCTTTAATTTTTTTTCCCCGCTCTTTGCATGTGGAAATGCTGAGACAATAGTGCTCCAGCTAGTTCTTTCAAAATCTGTTTTCTAGATTTTCTTCCCCATGCATTCACTTTAATTACTTTAAGTGAGCAATTTTTTATATACTCGTAAGCAGCAGGCAGATCTGGTTACTCCAAGGGAGAGTACCGCCAACTTTTTTTGTGTAAGCTGATCTGGCTGAAGCACTTCACTCAGTTTATTTTCTTATGACCTTATGTGACCTCAGAGATGAAGTCAATTAGCAGTTCATCAAAGCATAAATAAGTAAAAAGCAATATCAGATTTTTCAGATGATACTTTGAAATGGATTGCTAGGATCCAGTATTTTTTGTTTCAAATAATTGTGCACCTGCTATTTGTACCCTATTTGTATGACTTCTAAAGTAATTGGCAATTCAACCAATGATATCAAGCTATTTAATTAAAAAATTAAGACCTTTTTACCCAATCATGTATGCTGCTTTTTAGGCAAACAGATTTTGCTTGTACAATAAAGATATGTTGTGCTGAACAGGTACTATAGGCCACTTATATATAACATTAGAAAGTTCCTGAGAAAATGTTTGGTTAACTAACTGTTCATTTGCATTAATATCAGATCTCCGACTGGAGTTCTACATTGCTCATCATTATCCAAGTGGTACAGATCAAAGGCACAAGACCACTCAAATACACTCCTCCTAACTTTATGAATAAACAATATTTTAAAAAATAATCTTGATTTTTTTGTTTGAGGTCCCTAAAAGTCCAAGCACTCAGGTTCTTGAAAACTGATGTTTACTGCTCGGCATGCTGAATTTATTATCACGCAAGTTTTTAACGACTGTTGAAGTCGTGAGACAATTTTGCATTCAGGGATTTTTTTCTGAGAACCTGAGGGGGGAATTCTCAGTTCACAAATGTTCCCCCTTGGTATTATAACGGACATAGTAGTTTCTTCCTCTGCACGTGTAATTCCCAGAAGTCGTTTCATTAATCTTCCACAGAATTACTTTTCAGTAGGATGCAAAAAGACTGGGAGATGGCAATTAAAAACCAGCATATTAAAAATGTTTGGGTGCATGGATATTGTGAATGAAACCAAGGGAATATGTAAATCCTTCAAATCGTGAAGTTCCCCAATGCCGAAATAACTCGGCACGACTAATTGCTTTCTGTTCTCAGCCCATATGCTCTCTTCTCGGTTTCTTCTGGGCGAAGTGTTCGGAGAGGAGGTTTGCACTCCCCCATTTCTGAGTCATACGAGGAGATGGACTGAGTTTCAGGCACTTAACCCTGACACATCCATCCAAAGTCACCGCTGCTCAGAGCGCGCAGCTTAGTTTCAAATACTGCCTGTCACTTGAGTTGCTGGACAGTTTTCCACAGCTGAATTACTGGTAGGTTTTGATGGGGATAGGAGGTTATTTTAGCTTGTTTTCCCGGTGAGTCCAACGGGTTGGTGGTTCTGTGTGTGAAGGGATGAAGATGGGGCTGCGTGCGGCCCCATCTGTTCCCCAAGGACAGCTGGGCTTGGGACTGCCGCTGGAAGGACGTACGGCTGGTGGTTCCATTGAGCCGGTGTCCAGAGCAGCCGTGACCATGGGCCTCAGGAAAAATAGTGCTAGATGATGATGTTGGGAATGCCAGCTAGCTCGTGCTCCTTCCCCCCTGGAAGGGGGGACGTAGGTTGACCCAGCGTGCAGGCAGAGCCGAACGTTTGGACTAGGTGCTAAACACGTTTGCGTCTTTGCTGCCCGCTTGAGCAAGCGGAGCGAGTGTGGGAGAGCGTTGGAGAGAGGCGGTGAGCGAGCGCTGGGCCTGCGGGGCTGGGATGCGGCTGTCCGGCCAGTTCAGGGTCCCGGCTCTATTCCACAAGTCGAGGTTTCCCTGGGGTTTTTTGTTTGTTTGAGAGCTGTTGGGAAGAGTTGTGCTGGATTTTCAGAAATGCTCTGAATCTGTACGTTTGACTAAGGACAAACAGCCCTTTGGGGAGCTTGGATATTCCAGTGTGAGGCCTGTACTGTATTAGCAGACAAACTAGCAGCACGCTTTTAAAAAGAAACGTTCAGATGCATTAAAGATAGTTTTCCCAAATATCTTGCCCTGGTTACAAGATCCATCAAACTTGAACGCTTTCGCAGTGTTCTCCCAGAACAGCTTTTTGATCTGTTCCCCATGTCCAGTATTGACTTTTCCTTTGTACTTTTCATGGAATAAAATATTTTCGATGGGCTTCAGCATAATTTTAGCCTGAACTCCTTCCCTGGGTTAAATTGCAAGGGTGTCTTAGGGAAGAGTTTGCGCTGATTGTGAGTGGAATTTTCAAAAACTCCATTTGGCTTAGACTTGTAATCTTGCGGAAAGCGATTTTTGTCAGGTCTGTAGTAATTAATATATTGTATGTGTATACGCGATTACGGAAATGGTCTAACAATTTATTGCCATTTCAATTTTATTTTAGCTTTCAAGGTTTTTGGCAGCTGTTAGAATGCAAATATGGGACAGTGGATTTTTTCTGTCCTGTATGATATAATAGCTACTTAATTTCTCACGTAAGAAATCTGGAATTGGAGGTAAAACATGCTGCTGAACTTTTGCAGTCTCAGATTAAATCTTAGTTATGATTCATCTCCTTAACTTTACAGCTATTAAACACCTTGATTTTAGAAGCAATACAATTAATCTGGTGAATTAGGTTAAGCAAATGCATTTTTAATTGAATTTGAATTTCAAACGAGTTGTAGCCGATGATTGTCAGTCCCTGCTTCAGGCAATATCACCACTGAGATAACGTTTCTCATCTCCCAAGCAACATGCTGGAGTGATGCAATTTGGAAGAACTAGCTCTCTTTTTGGTGATTGACTCTCCTGTAATATTTTCCTTAACGCTGGCTCCGCTCACGCGGTATTTTGTGACTCTGTCTAGTATCATTGTTCTCTGTTGCTTCCCCGCACGTATGGGGGCCCCAGGTTTGATTTGGCACCCGAGGTGCATATAAACTTGTGACTCGGTTTTCAGGAAGCGGAGGGGTTGGTGATTAAACTCTTTTACATGCATTTGAGCACGTACTGTAGTCAGCTGCCTGCTTTTATTTTTCGCGGGCAGTTGCTTTTCACTTGCATACATATTGTGCCAAATACTACCTATTGCTACCTGCAGAATGCTGCAGGACAGTTAAGAAAATAGCATTCTGGTATTACTGCCGCTGATGTTTCCATAATGGGAGTTGCTAGCTAACTTTAAGAGATAGGCAAGGTAAGGTATAACTGAGGGGAAAAAGAGGGGGAAAAAAATTAAAAATACAACACGGATTGTTCAGTTGTGAATGTGACTTGTATTTGTTATCTAGGCTTTGAGATGAGAAACTAAACTTGGTCATGCTTGCATAAGACATTACTGTAGTCATGTCCTCCTGATTTTCCTGGAATAGAAACCTCATTAAACTACATGAAATAATAAGAAAATCTTTCAAAGCAATCCTTCTGTTCCTCCTCATGCCACCCATATCAAAACACAAACATTTCTTCTCCCTTTTTTCTCCTCCCTCTTTACTTTCTCTTCCTCAGTCTCTGACTGATGTCTCTCCTTTCTCCTTTGAAGACTCATTCAGAGCCCATGTCAACCTGGACCTGCAATCTCCGAGTTTAAATCTGCATTTCTGGCACAGTAACATAAAATATCGACACTGGTTTGCTGTAGAGAAAAAGCACGTCCATCCTGTGTCTTGCTTTTTTGCCCCACTCCCTGATTTTGCTCATGTTTTCAAGTGCTTCTTCACAATAAACTTGCCATGCCCCATGTCAGAGATTCATCTCCTCCCATACCATAATGATACTCTTCTTACCAAGTCCAAAATACCTTTCAGGAAATTTGGCACTCAAATAGAAACGGTGCTTATGTCTGGCAAGATCTGACAGTCAAGTAGGGTTCTCAGTACACTTCTGGCAGTCTAACTATCTAGCCAACAGAATATGTAAAATCATGATGAAGGATGTAACGAGATAATGAAAAAAACACATAGTTTGTTTAAACGAAAACTCAGCTACTCTGCTGGATTATTTTTCTGCACTTGGACAAGGTATAAGGGAAACTCATTCACGGTTACTTTCAATTGAAGTTCAGAATCTCACATTTAGACACAAATCCTACTAATAAAGTATTTGGAAACAATTGGCCTCAGACCTGCAGAACAATGTATCTTTTTGGACTTGTAAAACAGGACTTTTAGGGTTGTTTTACAGTTTGTCTTTGCAGCCAGACTAGCTTGACTTGTTCCTGAAAGCATTTTTGGCCTCCTATCACAAACTGAATTGACATCATTTCCTGCATAAATAGAGTAGGAATCAAAACCCTCTATGAGGAAGCCAAGGCAATTCGGGAGAAAAAAAGAAAAGAAAAGAAAAAAAAAGAAAAAACCAACCAAACAGAAACCCCCAAAAACCAAAACCCCAAACAAATACATCTTTAAGTCATGAGACCTTGCTTTTGGCATGCTATTGTACTTTTCAAAGCTTCTGAATGGCTGCACATTAAGAAAGGTTTGAGCTGTCCAGTTATTTAGACTTCCTTTACTCACCTGAACTGCTGACTTTGTCTGTCCTTTCTTGCATAATAACTACTTTTCGATTGCTTAAAAGTACAGAAGCTTGTCCGTCAGATTTGTTGTGTTTAGTCTTACCTAATTCTGTATGTCTTGTATTGTTTTACCTTGTAGGGTCCACCTTGAAACGACTATGTCTAGGCAAAGATCACAGTAGTAGTAACTATCCCATTTTTGTTTCTCAGTATTTCCTTCATGGCATGGGATGTTTTTTGCTTTTTTTAAATTGTTTTTTACTAAAAGCTAGTTGTTTAATAAATAGAGCTGATGCACTTATACTGATATGAAATTAGACTGTATAAATTGTGATACTTTCATAATAATGCATGTGCTGTGATGTCTTGGGAACCACGCATGCTGCAAGACAGTTGTGGTATTCTTTGTGTGTGAGACTGTGCACGCATGCGGCGAGAAAACTGGATTCAGTGTTTGTCTTTCTGAAATACACACCTTTATATGACTGCAGTTCTCTGCTGGAGGAATTTATAGCTTAAAACGATCTCGTTTCTGTTGAGCTGCATGAAATATTAAACACTAATTGAAGAGCTTTCCTGTCAAAATACTTGTTTTTCTCACTGGTCCCTTTCCCCCAAGCAAAGGAAAAGGAAATGAGCAGTACTCACTTAGAAGTTACGTTGCAGGTTGAATGCATGATCATTTAAAGGTTATTAACGTATTTTATATAACCATAGGACTAATTAGTTTACTCGGTTTCATTGGCTAGTAACTGATTAACAGAAAAAAGAAGACTGAATGTTCATGTTTGCTTATATAATAATTTTACTACAGTTCTATGAACTTTTTGCTTGGAGAGATGGTCTTTATTTCAAATCTTTAGCTATGTCAAATAAGTTAGCTGAAAAGTTACTTTCTATTTTCTGCTTAGGTCAAATTCAGGCACCTTCAGTTGCTGTTCCCTGCTGATCTTGCTGTGTCAGACTTGTAGTTACCAACACGTAAAAAGGACAGATTTTTTTTTTTCCTAGTTCTTCTAGAAATAAGTGAACGTATAAAATTAAATCTGTCAATACTCTCCTGTCTGCTTTTATCTATACCAAAAGTTCTGTATCTTTATCTTTGTCTCAAAAACTCACACACCTACTATGTCCTCCTCTCTCCTCTTTCTTCTGTACATCCATGGTCCTGATGAGTTTTTTTCCCCCAAAATATGCAGATGGCAGAGTAAATGGTCCTAACATCACTGAGAGAGATTGTGGGTTCCTGGAGCCTTTGAGGCGTAGTAGCCAACCCTACTTGTAACCGATATGACAATTACATTTTTCCAGGAGGACAGTAAACTTATGCAAGTAAAATAGATGGTAAATTAATTTTTTAAATGCGTGCAGTTTTAGCAAGTAATACATCCTGCCTCCCACTCTCTCGTGGTAGTCTCCTCTGAAGAGACTTTGTAAGCCTTAGGATGTCCGTGTTACTGGGACTGCATTCGTTTCTTCTCTCCGAGTCATTAATTTCACCTAGAGAGAAGTTGTGGGCGCAACAGCTAGTGGCTGAAGCAACGTGATGTGATAGAAAATATGAACGCATTGGACTTAGACCATTTCTTTAAGCAAAGGTGTTCTGTAGAAAGGAGGGGGAGGGTTAAAAGTCCGAAAAGCCACCATTTGAATTGCAGTAGATGAGAAACTGTTTGAGCAGCAAAGTGGTGAAGCAGAGATGCCATTGTCAACTTTCTTTGTGTGTGATTTTCCAGGATCCTCGACAAACAGTCTCGTAACGTGTCCTGAGCCCCTCCCACAATCAACCCTGCAGGTTCAGGCCAACAACAGTAACAACAAGAAAGGGACGTTCACAGACGATCTTCACAAGCTGGTTGACCAGTGGACAAGCAAAACTGTTGGAGCTGCACAGACAAAACCTTCTTTAAACCAACTGAAGCAGAACCAAAAAAGGCAAGACATGGAGCCAAAGGCTAATCCCATGCAAACGCAGAATGAGACATGTGGAGTAAGTGGCACTCCTTGAAGAACGTACCTTTTGCTATGTGTCTGAAAGCCTTTGCAGAGCTCAGATTTGGAGGAGGACATAGACTAAAATTGCTTCAGATAGATGCTTCCTATAAATGTCCGTCTCTTTTCGTTGAGTACTAAACCAGATTTTTTAAAAATTGTCTTTTGGAATAATCTTGAGGGATATATGGGCTGCAATATATATATATAAAATATATATTTTTAAATTGCAAACTGCTTATTAACAGCGATATACAGCAATGCTCATGCTGTTAACCATATGTTGCTCAACTTAAGTTTTAACTATTCCTAAAGTTTTCTTCTTTTTGATGTTTAATATTAATCTTCCTTAGGCAGAACAGTGGCTGGGCTGGTGGCTTGGCGGTAGCGAGCCTGTGTTTTAGT